TCTGTCTGTCTATCTATTTATCTATCTATATTACCTAGCTATATTATCTATCTGTCTGTCTATCTATCTATCTATATTACCTAGCTATATTATCTATCTGTCTGTCTGTCTGTCTATCTATCTATCTATCTATCTATCTTCCTGTATGTCTGTCTTACCAGCAGAGTATCAATAGTTACCTAGTTACTCATTATCTTACCAACAGAATATTATTTGATATAGATGAACCCATATTTATTAAAGGTTACATTATTCGAAAATAACGCTTTAAATAGCCGGGAAAAAAGAAAATAAAGATCTCTAACTAAACTCAATCGGTTACTTTTCCAAACTCGGTAACTGGGTCCTACATTATGACTGTCGGATATCAATCAATGTTTAGTGAATAACTCCCATTGGATTTGCCTATAGGTGTAATATACCAGATAAGACTGAGAAAGCGTTGTGTGATGATTGGATGGAACAGGATCCTGGCAGTGAAAGAGTTAACCCGAGTTGGAAGAATGCAGTTACTCTTTCTATCTAAAATTGTTTTTTTATTTCTATGGGACACAAAAGGGCTATTGATCTGGGGCAGCAGACGGATAATTATACAGAGACTTGGAAGTGCTGTGTGTGTTATCTGGATTAAACTCTTAGTTATATACTTAGAGCAGAGAAATGTCATTTATACTTGAAAGCAAATCTCTTTTCTGTGTCAGTGATGCACAAAATGTCCCAGATCTTAATAAAATAACATGTTACCATTATTAGCTATCATGGGCTGTGTACATGACAAACCACACATCTTGTTTGTTGTTCTTATCTCCTCAGCAGCTGTGTGTATAGGATGGTCTGTCTGTGTCTATCTAGGAGTGTGTCTGCGTGTGTATGAGTGAGTGAGTGTGTGTGTTTGTCTGTGTCTATCTATGAGTGTGTGTATGATGAGTGATTGTGTCTGTGTATGTGTCTATCTAGGAGTGTGTATGTGTCTATCTAGGAGTGTCTGTGTATGAGTGAGTGTGTGTGTGTGTGTGTCTGTGTCTATCTAGGAGTGTGTCTGTGTCTATGAGTGTTTCTGTGTATGCGTGAGTGTGTGTATGTATGTGTCTATCTATTAAGTGTGTCTGTGTATGAGTATGTCTGCCTGTGTCTATTTATGAGTGCGTCTGTGTCTGTGAGTGTTTTGTGTGTGTGTGTGTGTGTGTGTGTGTGTGTGTGTGTGTGTGTGTGTGTGTTTTTCCGTGTTTGTGTCTGCCTGTACTATCAGTGAGTGAGTGAGTCTGTCTTTTATTTGTGAGTGTGTCTCTGTGTCTGACTAGTAGTGTGTCGGTGTGTGTCTGACTGTGTATGTCTAATAGTGAGTGTGTGTGTGTGTGTGTGTGTGTGTGTGTGTTTGTGTGTTGAGAGATGCAATAAGGACTCCATTACATGTTCTCAGTATTCTAGAATGAACCAAGTGACACATGTATAGAAAGATAGAGACGGACATGAAGGAAGGTAGTAGATAGATTGATGGATGGATGGATGGATGGATGGATGGATGGATGGATGGATGGATGGATGGATGGATGGATGGATGGATGGATGGATGAGAGAGAGAGAGAGAGAGAGAGAGAGAGAGAGAGAGAGAGAGAGAGAGAGAGAGAGAGAGAGAGAGAGAGAGAGAGAGAGAGAGAGAGAGAGAGAGAGAGAGAGAGAGAGAGAAATATTACATATTTGTCTAGTTCATTTAATAATCACTATCAAAGGTGATAATGGGAAACACATCATCTATAAAAATCCTTTGATATTTATTGATCAACGTATTGGGTCAAGGACAGTCTCTTCCTCATAACACAATACTTCACCTGTGTTACAGAGGAAACAATTCTAATTGACCCATATCTTTGATCAACTAATTAGTGATTGGAAGTGTGTCTGCCCAGAATATATTATGTGAATTGCAGCCGTGGGATTTATGTGGTACCCAGCAAGGTGCTCAATTCATGTAATGTCTCACCTACTTTATTCTCCTTCCCAGACTGAATACAACAAATCTTATCCTATTGGCTTAGCTATCTCATTTTAGAATTACACAAACATTTTTATAATTTTACATTTTACTTAATGTATGTTACAATTACTAATTTTACTGATTCTTATTTTATCAATCTCGGGATTATGAGATATCTTACATATTTGACACTGGGATTGGAGTGAAAAGATTCTCTATTTTGCCAGTTTTATACATAATAAAAGAAATGCACATTGTCACCTTATTCTTAAAGTAAACCACGCAATAGGTCTATCCTAAAGTCTAAACGTAGGAACATTAAAATCCGAATGGCAAAACGGAGACCGATATAAACTTGGTTATTCTAATCTACCATTTCACATTGGGATTTTCATTCCATGCAATTTAGAGTTTAGTACATAAACACCACAGTTTTTCATTAAATTGCAGAACTGACAAGTGAACTGTAAATTTAAGGCCATGTTAGTCAAACATGGAAAAAATCTACTTTGTTCCATATCTAGCTCTGCTATTTTGGTCTAAATTTTGCAAGTAGATAATAAAAAAGTAAAATAAAAATAAAATATAATTTAGATTGTTCTCTTTCTGTCTTGCTCTTTAACCCCCCCTATTTCTCTTTCTCTGACTTCCTCTATCTCTATATTTTTATTTGCCTGTCTCAATTTCCCATGCATACCATTTATTAAATATATTTTCATAAACTTGTGACTGCTGGAATATTTGATATGAAAAAGGTCAGTTACAATACAGAGTGCTGGACCCAAGTAGGGATATATAAATGTTCATATTTTAACTGTTGGGATTGCACCATGCTGGTTTGGAAGCTGTCTCATGCAGTCTGAGTGGAATCCGTCTCTTAAGTGAATTCATGATTTTATTAACAAGTATCAAATGAGGGAGAGATTCAGACTATACAACAGGAGCACAGTAAGTCATGTGGACTCATAGGGGTTAATGTCAAGGGTATATTGTTTTAATAACATTTTCATTCGGGTCAAAAAAAATGATAGAACTACCAAAATAAGAGAACAAAATGTGTCTTGAAATTCATTTTTATTTTTTATTAGGCCAAGCAAAAACCTTGTACTACAAACTATGTTATAAAATGAAGCTTAGATCTTCGATAGAACTGTTTATTGCACATGGGGAGACAGACAGACAGATAGATAGATAGATAGATAGATAGATAGATAGACAGACAGACAAACAGATAGATATAGATATGTGTGTGTGTGTGTGTAATAAAAAAAGATCAGATTTGATATTGGATGCATACATTAAATTAGATAGAAAGATTTTACATCACATTAGTGTATAAAATGTTACATAGTTATGTAAAACATGCATGCAGGTAGATAGATTTCCTGTTATATATAGGCACAATATTGTGTAATGATATAAAGCATGTAAGTAATAGACGTTATATAGACAGATCTTCTACCATAAAGGTGTATATAGTATTGTATAAACACATATATAAATAGGTAATACATCAATTATTATTTCTTAATATATTTAAAAATGCTAGATGATATACCACGAAACTACAGTTGGCTAAATAGAAAAGTAAATGATGTGTAATATTATAAAATCTCCCCCTGTTACCAAACAGTTTCTAATCATATATATATATGATAGAATTTGAAAATGGACATTTGATGCATAAAACCTAAAATATAAACTTTAATTGCAAACTTAAAGTATTTTTAAAAACTATAAGAATTTGGGATTCTAGACCCTGCAAATGGCTGCTGTCTCTCAGAGAGTTGTAATTACAATGTTTCAGTTGCCAGAGATAACATTAAAGAATCTGCTGGGATCCCAAGTGCAGCCTGCTCGTGGCTGCAGAGGTTTCAGTACATGAGGGGTTAAGGGCTCTGCAGGGCTCTGGGAAGTTGAAGGCTATGAGAATTGGTCCAGGACAGTTGCTTGAACCGAGCTAAGTGAACAAATTCTCCCCGAGGTAGCTTCCTCGTTTGATCCTGCCGAGCCTGGCGCCTAGCAAAACATAACTCGTCTGCCTTATTAAAGGCTCTGACTTCTGCTGAGGGATTGCCTGGTGATTTGCAGTGCAGAGCCTCACAAGCCCTTGGCCACTGCAGCAAATTAACCATTGACCTGCCAAGCCCCAGCATCCTATATCTCAACTGGGTGGAGGCTATAATTATTATTTACTATTAGAAGTAATAACTAGCACTGCAACATAGTATATTATAATTGTACATTTGTATAACACACTTTTTTTTTTAGCTTGTGGTTTAGTTAATTAAAGCTGTATGTTTGGATATATTACACAGGATAGTTCAAACAGCAGGCTGAGTCCAAATATTAACTAGTTAATTCCACAGATGGTATTTATTCCCAGTGTATTTATCAATCTGCAGTATTATTATTGCCAATAAATGATTACCTTTTAATGCACCTGTAATAACAGGAGTATTCTTGTGAATTAACACCTCTAATATCTACCTGCAAAGGAAACTTTATAGGCATATTATTGCTTTAAAAGGACTTTTAAAATGAGTTTACATAGCATTAATGTTGCAGAAAAATTACATTGCTGTTACAGCTTGCTGCTAAAAAAAAAAAAAAAAAACTGCAGTAATGGGATAGGTTAATACTTCTATTATTAGTTTTGTTATCCCAACCTGAACTAGGTAAACTCTCGGCTCCTTTTATTTCATCCTATGGGAGGAGGCACACTTGATAGATGGTGTATTCATTTTAAGAGCCACTGAAGAGGAAGAGTGTACAATAACAGGGGTAATAATGGGGAGCAGGTCTCTTTTAACAAGGCTGCCCACTGATTAATTGCAGGCACATAGCCCCTCACTGAGCAGCCCATAAACCCACAGCCCGGTCTGTTGATGAACTTCTCATTCCTCCCCTCCTCCCTTTCCCCCCATTCTAATTCTAGTTTGGTGCCTTTTTGGAGGTTGGCTGGACCTATCAGTCACATCCCCAGTGACGTCAGCGGAGGGTGGTCCCCTGTGATTGGTAGGCGGTTCCATGAAAGGAAAGTATCAGGAGTTTATTAGGTGTGAAGTAGAGTGAGGGAGCAGAGCACAGGCTGGACATCTTCCTACTCCTCCTTCTCCAGAGACCATGAGGCAGACCTTCAGCTAGGAGGACCTGGCTGGCACAGCTTCTCACACCCCAGCCAGTTCCTGCTTTCCCTGGCAGCTTGACCATCCTTGGACTTGGGACAGTTTTACTTCGTCTGACTCAGCTCTACTCCTGGTCATCTTTTCATAACTGGAATAGAATGTGTTTTCCTTCCTTTGGGTGTTAGGATCCAAAACAAACTACATAACAAGAAGTCTTCTGTAGATCAGTCCCTCTCCTTTGGGGGAAGTGGGGAGGGGGGGCACTGGTCTCCTTGGACAATATCCATCCAGGGACCTGGGACAGCTCCTCTCCTGTGATCCAAGAGAGTCTCCTAAATAAGCACGCATTTTATGGCCCCTTATCCCCTCACCATGAATCCAGACCGAGAAGGGTCCCCGGGGCCAAACCCCAAACAGCCTGAGGCCAGCAAGACTGAGCTGCCTGTGGCCAGCACTCCAGAGGTGACCAGTGAATGGAAGGGCCCACCATTGAACTTCAGTGTGGAGTCCCTGATCTCTGACAGGAAGCCAGGCAAGGTGCAGGCTCCAGACAATGTGAGTGATTCAGAGCCTCATCGGTCCCCTGCTCACACCAGGACTCTGAATGCTGAGAACACATTTCCATCCCTGGAGGGGCTTCCTCAGGCAGGGGAAAGGTGCAAGCAGGACACGGATAGTCTGGCAGAGAAGGGCAGCAGCACCTGGTACCAGAGCCCACCTTACTCCTCACCCTCAAGTAAGTAGAACAAGGGGCATGATATACTCGTACAAAGAAGATACCCATTCCTTGTCTTATGACAGTGGACTTATCAGAATACTGCTGGTCTGGTATTGCATGTAAAGGCACTTGGTTTTATCAGAAGAAGCCTAGGGTGTCTTTCATAGCATAGCTCACTATTCATCATCGATTTTTAAAATCTTCAATATGTAAAACTATCAGTAGTTGTATTTAGCAATTATCATCTGTTGCCACCGCTGCTGTGTGGCCATTCCATGACTCAACTACCAATTTTGTAGAATTACATTCTTCTCACATTCTTCTTGTCCACCCTAAAACAGGTCTCATACTGTCTGGGAGATTTAATCTATGTGTATACACTTTGTAACACCATAGTCCATCATAATATTAATATTATTAGTTCATTATACATTTTATACATTCATATATTGTTGGCTATTTATCTTCAAAGAATAACAAAGAAAGGACACACTTCAAGCATAGCTCTTACTATATAATTAGCTACATACACTGTCATAACCATAACAAAATATGAAAAACGAATTGTACAATCTCCAGTATTTTAATGATAAGCTTGCAATCCGTATTTTACTTATTCTTTTCATACTGAAATTTAAAAACAAATTCAATTCAGAAATAACCTATAAAGGATAGTTTGGGGATAGATGCACTAGCTGCGGATGCAATCTAATTTATATTGTTTTAGGAGTATTATATAAAATATTACTAATGCAGGGATATATATATATACATAGTAAGTTATTCAACATGTGACCACACGACGATTACAGTATCGAAGTTATAATAAAAAGTAAATAAAGTTTATTACCTTTTTTATTTCATGTAATGCAGACGCACAAATGGGATTTATATGTCTGTCTGCAGTAAGGCTGAGTCCAAATATGTTCCAAGTCTTGTTTAATCTATATAGAATTAAGATAAAGAGGATTGCAGATTCATGATCATGTGTGCGATGTCCTGGGATATAGTGAATATATTGTGTACTTGGGACCTAAGCTTTGTCTAAAGAATATTACTCAATATTATATAAAAGCTTACAATGAATGTATCTTTCCTGGTTAAATACGTTGTATTATTATTATTATTATTATTATTAATATTAGATTGTAACTCTCTAACTGCATTGTACAGCGCTGCAGAACTTGCTGGCGCTATATAAATAATAAAATAATAAATATACACACACACATTAAAAACACGATATTGTTTCGATAGAGATCATTGTTTGTAATTAAAAAGTTCGTAGTTTATTCTCCGGGAATGTATTTACATTATATTAAATACACCTAAATTTAAAAAAAAAAAAAAAAATTAACATATACATAAATAAATAAAATTCTTAAAATGAAAAAAAAAAAAATCACCAATATTAGATAGATTTCAAGCCATGAAACATCCGACTTCCTAAACTGGACAGAAATGGGAAAAATACCTCACAGTAAAAAAATTTGTTTCTGTTTGTTGTCATTTTCTTTTTAATAAGTTTGTTGTTTTGAACTACATTTTGCAAGTTGTAGAGTAGATCTATAGGGCAATCGTGTTTTTAATCTAAAGAACATTTCTTAATGAGCCACATCTGTATCGCCTGCTAAATAATGTTTGTTTAGCACTAAACAGGAGCCCAAACATAGTCATAGATTATGAAACTGAACATGGTTAGATCTAGGCCATTCTGTTTTTTTTTAATGGGGAACTTTACAGCTGGTGTTAAGTCGAATTTTGCAAACATTTACATGCGTTACAGGAGCTAAAGGGTTAACCGATCACATATATCGTTAATGAGTCAATAAAATTCTCACTATTTTATTTAATATTTTTAAAAAAGGCAAAAAAAAATTAAATAAATGTTTTTATTTAGTAAACTGCTACTGAGTATCTCCTGACTATTGGTGCATCAAAGAAAATGTTTTTCAGTGGAGATAATTCGATTTAAGATCAAAGGACATCTCTTTCTGAATATTTAATTTCATTCCCCTTCATGCTGACAAACAAGAGGTCTTTATGTCTATATTTATATTATTTTAATAAGATTCAACTGAACACAGTGTCTGGTTTGGGGGATAGAGGGCCAGCAGCTTAAAAGTCACATTGATTTCAAATCTAAATATAAAACAACTTCTAAATGTTATATAACTACAAATAACACAGTTAATCTATGTAAACATTTGCTATCATTGAATGTTATGTACAGTATTTATAGCTTCCTATCAGTGAAGTATGAAGAACATCAGATATGCTTTTAATAACAGTAATCCAATTGGCATTTATATTTTGTGTGTTTCTTTGTAAAACTTTTTTTTTTTTTTCACTAAACACATTATATTATAGTAAATTATTGTAAACCTAATTGCTAAATTTAGGCAAAAACAGCCCATGTGTGACTAGAATTTGTTTGTTTTTTTCTCCAAATCACGCTTTTTAGCCTAAATTTTGCAATTCCATTTTCAATTCACTACAAATCACAGTGTTATTCACCAAAGTGAGAATTCAAAGCGGATTTCAAATTTTAGGCCAAAGTAGCCAAACTTGTAAAGTATAGTAGTCTTACAGAATTTTTCTAATTTGACTACTTTGGCCTACAATTTGAAATTTACTTTGAATCCTCATCAAGCAGATAATTTGACAAATTAAATCCGAATGGCAAAACTAAAGCTAAATATCCGAGCTGAGTTCTAGAATTTTTCCAAATCAGCTACTTTCACCTCAGTTATGCCATTTGCATTTAATTTGCTGAAATTCAAAGTTTAGTGAATAAGTTACTGAAGTAAGCAAAGGATGATGGGAATACTATTCAACCAACTACTGAGCCTCAAATGAGTAAAATATATATAATTTTACCAAGTAGATTTACATTTTAGAGAATATTTATTATTCATTATTGTTACTATATACATAGCGCTAACATATACCACAGCACTTTACGATTATACAATGGGGATACATAGCAGCAAATAATTGACAGACAAAATAAAATGAGATTAGATGACCACGCTTATAGACGCTTACAATGAATGTATCCTTCCTGGTTAAATACGTTGTTATATTATTATTATTATTAGATTGTAAATCTCTAACTACATTGTACAGCGCCGCAGAACTTGCTGGCGCTATATAAATAATAAAATAATAATGATAAAATAAAACACGTTGCTCTGGCTATTGTATCAGTTGTGCAGCAGGCAAAGGGTTAACTCCCCTAAAGTGTGGCCTATTAAGGGTATCCCAGTAGAGGAAATTCAAACACGGGCTATGGGATAAACATACTGCTAGCCTAAGCATTGAAAAGGCCAGGGATCAAATGGACTCTGAGGGTTTGCACAAAGCCTAAAATGAACCTGTTAAGATTTTTAGACCTGTTTCATTTTCTACCTGCTTCTAGTTACCATTTAAAAAAAAATTATTAAAAAATAATAATAATAATGTGGAGGAAAATAAAAAAGTTTAGTGGAGTTACGCATAGTATCGTATTCTAATTTTGTTGTCTAATTTGTATTCAACTTGTCAGTAAATTGAAATAAAAAAAATAATACAATAAGGCAGAGTTTGGGGTATGATGGCGAGCGGACGTTACGGTTTGAAATTAGTTTTGGGATAGGAGGGAGGTGGGGGGACAAGGGATGCCTTGGGGCCTAGGACACCACATGAATCTTCCACAATCAATTCTCTCTGCTTCATGCTGTTCTGGTTTTGCTTGTTACATAAAAGTGGTTTGAAAAGGAGCTGCATTTCACTGCCCCTCTCTGCCAGATCAAACTGACCTGTATTCAGTTCATAACCCTTAGAGCTATGTCCAGATTTTTACTTTGATCTTGTGGAAGCGAAACCCAGATTTGCAATATATATTTAAAGGAACAGTAATGCTCAGAAATTAGAAAAGTCACAAGTACCTTTCAATACTTTATACATTAATGTCCTATCTTTAACATTTCCCCCATTTGAAAAACAAATAAAATACTTGTAGAATCGAATGGTCCAGTCATGTATAGTATATATAGTATTTGTTTGTTGACATTGAAAGATTATATTTAATTTAGAAATTGTTGTTAGTTTTTATTTGTGATTCAGTTGCTTGGAGTTAGTTCTGACAAAATATTTATGTTTTATTAGTTTTTATCTATTTTAAGGCCCAGTATATTAATCAGTGCAAGCTAGAGTCGCAGTATACTCTATACACAATGTAAAAGTAAAATATAAAACCGTTTAGACGACACATATTTAAAAACTCATTCACATGAAAAAGTTCCTGGCTTGAAAATACATACACAGGGTTTGTTCACTAAACGTTGAATTGCACGGAACCGAAAATCAAAAGGAAAATGTAAGACAGTTTTCTGGAAAGGGTGATAGACAAGGAAGGGAAGCTGGTAGAATGGTATATCGAAAGTAAAGTCCTGTAGGCAGCAGCAAGAGGAGAAGTTAAGGTAGAGGTGTAGATTCCGGGTAGAATGAGGGGGGAGACTAGGATATAATTTGGAGATTAGAGAAGGAATATAATAAGGAGCAGCATTATTCAAGCAATTATTGGTTAGTGGGAATATAATGTAATATGCGACTGCTTCCCTTGTTCATAAAGCACCAACCTATTCTACAGAGCTGTACAATGGGTGGACGAGACATGCAAGAAATGACAAGTTTAGCTTATATGAAGAGATGAACAGAGCCATGCTTAAAGGAGCTCATATATCTACAGCTCAGATATACATGGTTTAATAATGAGATAAATAGTGCTGTTTTACATGTGGTGTTAATGACCACTCTGTAACAGAAAGATTCTCATAAAGGGAAGTCTTATATACGGCAGAGGCTGGTCCATAGGGGCAGTTTGTGTTGTAAGAATGAAAAATTATTTTGGTGTGATAAGGACAAATGTTGAACTTGTGTAAAACATGTCGCATTTGTTATGATTCATTTTGCAGAGTACGCCCCTCTTTCTTGATGGCTAGTGTTGCCGCATTAGGACATGTTAAAAAAATCGCCATGTTTTCAAGCTACACATCCCAGACATGTTTTGTGTACTCTAGCAGGATTTCTGACATCACCTATTGGCTTTGTAGTGGTCCATCAGATCATGTGCACCGTAGAATATAGGCTAGTGCAGAGATAGGCAACCTTCGACACTCCAGATGTTGTGGACTACATCCCCCATCATGCTCTTACACCCATAATGCTGGCAAAGCATCATGGGAGGTGTAGTCCAAAACATCTGCAGTGCCGAAGGTTGCCTATGCCTGAGCTAGTGTATTGTAAATTCAGTAATAAGGCTTTCACTGGGTAACAGTATCTGGCAATGTAGTTTCTGTTTATGTAATACATGTAGCTGAAGGTTTATGGTGTTGAACAAGGCATGACATCTCATTGGGTCACCAGTTAACTACATGAGTTTAAGTGGGCAGAGTCAAAGTTCGAAAATGTAGCTAGTGCAGTACCATCTTGATACTTCAACAGCCAATACTGCATATATAATTATATAAATTAACTTGCTTTGTTCCAAGGACAGCCTTTGCTGCCACAATATTACAATATTCCTAGACCATACATTTACATGGAGTTTACAACATGTTTCGTAATAATAGGGCTATAAAGTACAGCTAATGCACAATAAGATGAAAGTTCCATGTTTGCAACAGGTCTGCATGGCCCACATTGTGATAACGGTCAGAGCAGTAAAGGGTAATTAGATCAGTGATAGCACTGAATGGAACTTTTTCAAATTCTGAAAAAAGTCTGCTATTACCACATCTCTATTACTTCAATTTTAGCATGCCTAAAAATTAAATAAAAAAAACAAAAATAAAACATACACCTCACATGTTTAAGGATGGTTAGACTACACTTAACATGGTTTACATTAGGGTGAAATATGTCACGATTACATGCCAGTACCAAAAGATAACTGTATGGTAAGTCATATGTGTACAGATATAGTACAAATAAACTATACTAACACTCATTAATCACTTAACAAATCAAACAAGATAATCCAGCAAAATTAGCAAATAACATATAACAAGCTATGTTTTTAGTGCACCTATTATAGAATTACTTGGTCTTATTAGGCAGCATAAATTCTACAAAACTTTCCATGGTTTAATGATTATAATCACTTAAATAAGTTGTTTATATGCCTGCATAGGAATGTTTCCAGTATAAATGTTAGTGAATTACTGATAACAGCAAGAGTAGATCTCCAAAACTAAACCTTTTATTGCCCTGTGTCCATCTATAGATTGCATTAGAGGTCATTTGTACCAAGGTGCCTCCCTAACTACCATACAAGAGCACGTATTGTGTTTGCAGATTGTACTGAGGTTGTCTTTAAACAGGTAACAAAGTTAGTTCAAAGTTAATATTGTGATCCTGAGGAAAGTCCCTGAATGGGACTGAAATGTTGATTTTTCTTTTAACGATGTTGAAATAAAATTTGGATTTTACTAAGGACCAAGAGTGCAACCATCTTCATACAATATATATATATATATACCCACACACATAAACAATCGTAATAACATCATAATAATTACAGTTAGATATATTTAAATGAAATGCGTATGTACTGTTAATAATCCTTGATTTACAATGCACACTGATGTTTAACTGTAAACCGTTTACAGTTTTATGCCTTATAAAACTTAATCCACCCATTGTCTTTTCCAGAGGACAAAGGGTAATTGCTCACAGCACTGCCACCCTTGGGTCTCACATATATCCCACTGCCCACAAACTGTCTCTGTAATAAATATTGAGGTGTGAATTGATGGAAATTCACAGTGAATTCAAAGTGAATTTAAAATTTAAATCCAAAATAGAAAAATTTAAGGCATTGCTAATTCAGAGATTTTTGGTATTTTTTTTTTCAATTTTGATACTAAATTTGAATTCACTTTGACAATTTAAACTTTAGTGAAAAGTAATATTATTGTGTATCAGAAATTAAAAAAAAATAGATTTCAATCTCTTAAAGAACATTAAAAAGCATGCAATCTGTTTTAGATCACAGTCTGCCCAACAAACCTCATGATCAATAAAAAGCTGTGTCTCAGTGGTTCGTACGGGGACTTAATAGCATTAAATCTAGCCCCGTTATATCTTTCTTTGAAGAAAGAAAAGCTACAATACCAATAAATCACAGCACCAATTTGTTGGTTCCCATAGATTCGACTTTAAGAAAGACATCTGTCTCTTCCACATGCTCTTTAAACTTGTACAAGCCTGTAGATTTCTGATTTGATCAACCTATAACAGCCTTTGAATATATTCTGTCACTTCTTTTTAAGATATTCTCATTTTGTATATATTTTTTAAACGTGGCGTTGACTTTGATTGTAAGCAAACGTTATTATGAACAAAAATATCAATCAGATATATATGTTGTCCTATTATGTGCTGACAATCTTCATAGGTTCAAATCCCAGCAGGGTTGACTCAGCCCTTCATCCTTCCGAGGTAGATAAAATGGGTACTGTTAAATTGGGTAATAGTAACAACCCCTGGATGTTGGGCTAAGGTAACATCCCTCAGGACGTACTTGAATATTAGAGTAATCTGAATGTACCTTTCCTCGATAAATACTTTGTTATTATTATGTTACGATGTACAGACTATTAAAATTTCTAGACCCTTGCAACTCACAATCTTAATTTTCATATCTGCGTTATTGGGTGAAAGACGTGACCATACAAGATCACATAAATATTTCTCTGCCTTAAACTTTACAGTTTCAAACCAGTTACTGGACAGCCCTATAAAGTCTCATAAACGTCTGTTAATATAATTTTTAGTTTAGCAAATAAAGTTCAGCAGTATTGCAAAATACCCTCTAATAAATATATTTGATCTCCTATTAGTCATTATTCCCATAGCATGTTCTGAAAGGGTTTACTGTATACTCACACACTGCAAGAGAAGACTCTGCACACTCACTACTTAAATAGAATGCTAAATGGGACTCTCTATTTGGTTAAGGCTACAGTCAATTATCGTGACCCCCCTCTACAGACAGCTGGAAAGGGGCTGCATTGGTTAGAAAACATTGACCAAATAAAGAAAAACAATTGCATTTTCAATGGATTCAAGCCTCATTTGAGTATCCTTTAAAAAAAAAAAAAGGTAGCTCAATGTTTTTCGTGTCCCTTAACTAAGATTTGAAAAGTCGCCCTCACTAACACCACGATTGATGGACTTAATAACTCCCAAACTAAAGAAAGCAGAACATATTTGTGTATATTGTTGATTTTTATTGTGTACTCTATTAAGCCATTGTTTATTTGGTTACACTAGCTAAGTATGCTAATATACATAGAACACAATCTATGCTAATATGCTACAACGCTACTATGCTAATATTCATATGGACATTTATTTTATTTTTATTCAGGTCAGTTTAACATTTCAAATCCTAGACTGTTAGATCTTGAATGTTACTTGCCACTGGAAGCCTAAAGTGTCCATTGATACATTTGCCACTGGTGAATTTCTACGTGGCAGAGCTAAATTGTTACTTACCAATAGTGATGAGTTTAAATTTTAAGCCCTGCAAAAGACTGTGAATCAGGAAATACATATCACAAAACTAAGAAAAAGTCAATAGCAATAATAAGCGCTCAACTATTTCTATAAATGAAGTAAGCAAAGAAAGAGACATGACACAACCCAACACACATTAGTAACAAAACAGCTACGTATGAACGACTGAATGAACAGATATCCGGGGCAGAATAAAGAGTCATATGAAAAACAAAAACATATATGAAAAACGCAAACAAGTTTAAATGGAGCTTTTGAAATGCATATAACAACACAAAAACAGATGTATGATCATCTATATACTGAGGCTTGTAAACTAAATCCACTAAGCACTGCAACAACGGAAACCAGACAGCAATCCAGTCCCTCTGTGATGCAATACAGTGATGGTAAGCAAACGTTCTCAAACAGGGTTAAGCAGACAGACTGGGACAAATGGAACATATTTTGGACATCCTAGTTGGGATATCCCTTGATTTGTAGTCAGCATGGAGGCCTGCGTAACGGAGGCCAATTACAAAGCTGATGACAGTCTGTCCAGTTGATTATATATTCAACTAGTAATGTGCAGGGGCTATCCCAATCAGTATGTTGTCACAGCATTTCCTGTGTAGTCACCTGTTTAAAAGGTTTAACCGGGAAAGATTGTGGAAGTCTTTATCTCTTTTTTAAAACAATGATTTAACCATGCAGATCTGGAAAACCAGTATAATATCCATTGGAAATGACTGCCATACACATGAGGGTTTTGGAGATCCATGTGGTTCATATTCACGGCTATGGCAATACATTGCTTCTGTCAATGGAATATTGGATGTGTCTTGCTTATTGCATACTTATGACACTTGGCACATCCAGTCAGCATGATGAGGACGTCCTTAACCACTGCTCATTTTGTGGTAAACATGGTAAATATGTCTTAAGGTTCACTATCGGGGTTATTAACTGAAGTAAGAATTGCTGGAAATTCAAAGTAATTTGGAAATTTATGGCCAAAATAGCTGAACTGGAAATACAGCTGAAAATCACTTTGATCTCACTTTTGGATTTCTGGATGATAGAATGACATCAGAGTCCACAAAGCTGAAGTAAACCATATTGGGCCTGTTGTTCTTTGGCCAGGGATATTAAAATGTGTCCAAGCCACAGTTCGCTATGCCGTAAAATAAATACTGACTGTGGACATCAAGACCAGGGATTCTTTAGTCATCCAGGGATCACTAGGCCACAAGACTACCTGTATTCAAACCCTACTGAGGTTAGTGTTCTAAGTCAGCAGACAGGTCAATGGTTGCTGCAGTCCTGTTCGTGGTGTGGTTCTTTCTATCATTCAATGACATCAATGGAAGGAACGAGTTTCTTCTACAGAGAGGAACTTTCTAGGTTGGAATATGGACAGCACACTGAGTTTGTGATATCAGAGACTGACTGTCTGTGTATCATGACAGATCACCCTTCAAAATGTTTTTTACTTAACCATATTGCCCCAAATGTATCCCATCACAGTGGCTGCAATAGTCAAAATATATTTATATTTTAATTAGAAATGTATCCATAGTTAGTAACTACATCCCAATTTCTATATGTCTCAGAGGAAACATAAAAAAATGACAGTAAGTGATGTAAAAACCCCAAACTGAATTAATTGATGACTGGTGACTGGTCTGCCTTTAGGGAAGGAACTGAATGACTCTTCTCATGGAAAGTTTTATAAAATTGACATTGAGATGGTCCCAAAGGGATATTATCCCACGGACAAGCTCTTAAGCTGTGTTCCTTCTTACTCTATCTTGTTTCAGACATCCTTTAGGACATATTTGCTAAATAGTTAGATGTGAAAACTTAATAACTATATTGCAAAATTTACTCCAAACCGGGACAGCTGGAAAAACCCCAATGTTGATTAACTTACTCTATCTTGTTTCAGACATCCTTTAGGACATATTTGCTAAATAGTTAGATGTGAAAACTTAATAACTATATTGCAAAATTTACTCCAAACCGGGACAGCTGGAAAAACCCCAATGTTGATTAACTGGAGATGCGAGATTTGTTGTTTCCGAAGTATATCTATGTAACTATGTAACTATGTAACTATATCGGTATAAAAATTGTCAGGGATGAACGCGGCTTCTTTAACAGTGTATGAGTACTCATTCTTTCTTATTGACCGTCGTAGAACGAATACAAGTTCACTTTTAACTTTATATACAAGCCGCCATAATATGACATACTCTATAAAAGTTTTCTATGTCAATTCTATGTTTTTTTTCAAAGTGATAATTAAAACAAATCTGCAAATATGAACATATTATTAAACATTATTAAACAAATAAGGAAAAAAAAAAGCAACTTTAGGTTTGCCAGAAGAATAATTTATGATTGTAAGCTTGTTTTAACAAGGTCCTCACTATCCTGCCATCCCTCTTATTATTTGAAATAGTTTGTTTCTTATTTGTTGCCACTTTATAACATTTTAAAGCACTACATATATAGAATATACGCTGCATAAATTAGAATAATAATACTGGCAAAATATTGGGCTGATTTCTAATAATGTTATTTTATCTATAAGGATGTATACAGTAAATGTCTGTGTATAAAAGACAGTTGATAAATGCTACAAACAGCAAAATCAAACATCAAGACCATTTGACCTGAAAAACCCATCTTGGAGTACCTAATTGGCTTGGCTTTCAGTTTAGGGTCAAAGTGAAATTTATGTGGATATTATACGTATTATTAATATGTACAGTATTTACTAGAATCTAATGTGCCATCAAATCATTGTAATGCGAATTTAAATTCTGAAACCTGGAAGCCAATAAATGTTTTCGCTGGCGAAAGTAGATACTACTATACAGCATATTGATCAATCAGCCAGGGCTGCCCTTTGACCGGAGGGAAATTTGCAGGGGCATAATTAGCATTTGCATTGCAACAAAGATACGACGTACAACTTTATTGTACACAGAAACCAAGTCACACATCCCTGTTGCAGCGGTGCAAATGCAAATGTTGCCCTGGTGAATTCAAGGTGTATATCCGTCGTATTTAATGCGCCGTTCATATCCAGATCTAATGGGCCATTGAATCTAATACTCATTCACATTTTGGAGACTTTATTTTGCCAATGAAGGAGTCGAGCACATACAGTATATCATGTTATCTCTCTTATTAACCATACTGATTCAATCAGGTTATGTTAGTTGCTTGCAAATATGCTACTTTGCAACTAATTCCCACATACATCTGTCTTGTTGTTGTACAAACCAGATTTGGACCTTGGTGATAAGGTCTTCATATATCTCTATATATCTGTTATGCAGTTCAAATAAACAAAAGTGTGTGAATGTGTTACAGAAAATACATGGTATTCTGGGTTGGTCTGTCTGCTCTGTCTGTGGAATGTATGGTATTTGGGCAATGGTAATGTCTGCTGGATAAGAAGCCATTATTTTAGGGGCATGGCAATCAGCAGGATCTAAACGCTAAGGTTAGGTTTAGGATCGAATCACTCCAAGAAGCTATTGTTTTTACATATTTTCCTAATTTATTAATTCAATAAACTGTAACTTACTAGCCAGAAAAATGAAAACATAAACAGAGAGACAGACTGGTGCTATCAACTAATGATTCAGTTATTATAATGATTTGCCTGGGTTCTGCCTCTTAGCCAGGAATTAAAAAACAGTAATTGGAGAAGACCTCTCCAATTGATTTCAAATACAGAAGGCAAGTAAAGCAACTCTGAGTGTTCCATGTTCAGACACTGAAACATTAAAAGAACACTACAAATAAAAATAATAATTTATATATATATATATATATATATATATATTTAACTGTAGTGCTCCTTGAACTTTTGGAAGTCATTGAAATCTTTGCAGATTTCTTTTGAAAACACCACTTTTATAAAATAAGCCTGCGGTATATGCAGTTAACTTCTAAAGCACTTTTTGGAACTAAAGCAGCCATGGCGGACCTATGGCACGCGTGCCACAGCTGTGGGCATGCAGCCATAGGTTGCCAGGGGGCACCATATTTGAGTAGTGTGGCCAGGCGGCGAGGATCGCGGTTACAGGAACTTCAGTTTCCTGTACACGGCCGGACTGAAAGGAAGTGCTCAGTAAGCACTTCCTTTCAGTCCGGCCGGGTGCAGGAAACATAAGCTCCTGTACAGCCACTGAGGACAGGAGGGGAAAGGAGAGCACTAAGGGTGTCTGTGTATCTGTAAATGTCTGTGTATCTGTGAGTATGTGTGTGTCAGTGTGTGTGTATCTGTGAGTGTCTGTGTATCTGTGAGTGTCAGTGTGTATAATTGCCGTGTTTAATTGCTGTGTTCGCACTTTGAGGGATATAAGTTTGTATTGCGGTTTGGGCACTCAGGCTCAAAAATGTTTGCCATTACCGAACTAGAGTGTTAAGTGTGATAAAATGCATCAATACCTATATTTCATATATGGCTAAGAAGACCATGACTAATTTCTAGGTTTTTGAAGGTATATATTGTAAAAAAATATATATATGTTTATATAATTTTAGGTTAAAGACAGTAGGGTAACAAAGAGGGTTGTAGAGGAACCCCTTTTTCTTGTGATCCAATATGAGGAAGCTTAAAGACCTATCTCCCCTAGAATGCTCGTCAGACGTAATACATTATTAAATGTTGTAGAGAGGCAGGGAGTATGGAGTTATACCCCCAACAATTGAAATGGACAAAAAAAGGACAATTTAATTTTAGGCGTATCCATTCTCAGAAATTTTAAATGACTTACTAATAACAATTTATGCCACTAAAATTTAATTTAGAACAAGAACAATGTATCTTATTTACACAGACTGATTTCTAAACACATCCAATGTAGGTTAAAGGAACACTATTTACAAAGCCTTATTCCTAACACTATAGGTACCTCTGCCCACCCCTCCATTTTTTCAGTTACCTGATACAAGCGCTGATGTCCCTTGGCACTGTGTTGGCTTCCTCCTCCGCCAACATCAGCCGATGTGGGAAAACTAATGTGGATGTGCATGCATTAGGCCTTCCCCATAGGAATGCATCAATTCAATGCAAAGCGTGAGGACGTCCAGCATTGTATTTTACATTCCAGGGTTAAGGGAACAGGGACACTGCACCCAGACCACTTCAATTAGATGACATGGTCTGGGTGCCTATAGTGTCCCTTTAAAGACACATTACTGTGAGTATTATTGCTATTGAGCACACCAACAATATGGAGCTCCTAGAAACTAGTGAAATTAGGATAGAAAAGAAGGCAAGAGATATTTGAGCACAAAGTACGGATTGTCCCTCTTAAATATGGATACTTGGAAAGTATGATTCAGTACACTGTAGTGCAATGCAAGGCAACAGAACTATATGTCACTCATAGTGGATAGGAGCCAACTGTAACTTCGGACCATTCGAACATCTACATTGTGAAATGTGATGATGGAGGATATCCTGAAAATACCACAGCATCACAGCTGATGATTTTGCCCTACTAAAAATGTAATTTTACATTTTTTTGTCCTATTCACAATACTAATTGGAGAGACTTGTTTAATTTCTGTGTGATAAAAACTGCACATTATTTGGAAAAACAAAATAAACAAACAGAAAAAGCATACTGAAATGTCCTATAGCAAATATTAAAAAGTATGGTCCATGGAGAAAATGTGAATTTTATGTTCTACTGCTGTCACCCAATTATAGATTAATAAAGTACACATCTCACTTTATACAGATTACTGATGTTCACTTGGTGAAATTATATTTTGATGAAAATATTTTGTCTCCACATAGGTAGCATGGCTGTGTATCACTTTATAGAGACCTCCAGCCTATTTGTTAAAGTATTGGAGACCTCGGCTAAAGACAATCTTGTTGGCTTTTCAAGCACTAGGAAAGAGTGAGCCAAACTGTAACAGAAAAATAAAAAATAAATAAGTAGATTGAAAATCACAAATTAGCTAACTGAAGTGCTTATAGTTCATAGTTACTGAGATATTATAAGCTTACGTTAGGATATAAGTTACCATTGGGTTTGTTGTCAAATTTCACCTTTAGCTTTTCTTAATTGATTTATGTAATTAATTAATCCATTTTATTTACAAACGCTATGTATAAAAGGTTCCTATACCTTTAAATGCTCATGTAAAATTTTTGATGATGGTGAAAGAGAGAAAATATACTTAAAACATGAATTATGCGTACATAATGGTGATATGGTAAATAGAGCACTTAGTCGACAGCTTTACAACCAGAGAATATAGTGAAGAGCATTTAGTTGGTCAGGAAGGAATAAATGTCAATGACGGGATTGTAAAAACATGTCAGTCGCACTTGTCTGCTCCTGCACCATGTTGTGAAGGTATGCATTCGTGCCTGCTGTGTGTATGGTCATGGAGCTCATATAACGTTCCTAAAATTATTTCATATTTTTTTGTTCCCCAAAGAGGAATATAACTGGATCTAATTATGTTTTAAAAATATATTTCTTGAGAATTGTTTTCTTTTTTTCTTTTTGGAGTGTGTATATTTATCTAGCAAACTGGATCTGCAGTTAAGCAAAATTGTCCAACAGTTGTATTTTTGACTAGCAATATAGAAATCTGCAACTTTAAGTAACGTGGCCTACAGGGTTATAAACTAAAGCAAAAGTTGTCAGACATTCAAAGTGATCTTCAAATTTAAAGGGGCAATCCATTGCCCAAATACAATAAATAAATATGAAAATCTGCATTCACTGAATTATTTTTTTTCCCATTGGGGACAAATATAAAAAACAGCTTGCAAAAGCTGTAGATGTCATCTGCAGCCTTTGCAACGCCTCCACTTCTTCTCCTGTCTAGACTTTCTGTGGCTGTTCAATCACAGACTTCCCAATGCAGCTCAATGACAAGTCTTTGCGAGGCTGGTGCTCTGGGCAATTGCTGCCCCTTGAGTTTAGCTCCACAGAGCTTACCAAACCATGAAGTAACAGGACCTGTTATCTGATTGACAGACGGGGTGGGGGTGTACAAGGTTCCTTTATAAAGGTGTCAATTTGTACTAAAATCTGTGCTTTTTGTAACATGAAAAAAAGAGGACACACTCTTTACACGTTAAGCACTTAAAGGACCACTATAGGCACCCAGACCACTTCAGCTTAATGAAGTGGTCTGGGTGCCTGGTCCAGCTAGGTTTAACTCTTTTTTCTATAAACATAGCAGTTTCAGAGAAACTGCTATGTTTATGTTAGGGTTAATCCAGCCTCTAGTGGCTGTCTCATTGACAGCCGCTAGTGGCGCTTGCGTGCTTCTCACTGTGAAAATCACAGTGAGAAGATGCCAGCGTCCATAGGAAAGCATTGTGAATGCTTTCCTATGAGACTGGCTGAATGCTTGCGCAGCTCTTGCCGCGCATGCGCATTCAGCCGAGGAGGAGGAAAGGAGGCGGAGAGGAAGAGGAGAGTTCCCCGCCCGGCGCTGGAGAAAGAGGTAAGTTTAACCCCTTCCTCCCCCTAGAACCCGGCGGGAGGGGGACCCTGAGGGTGGGTGGACCCTCAGGGCACTATAGTGCCAGGAAAACAAGTATGTTTTCCTGGCACTATAGTGGTCCTTTAAGCTAATGCTTTAGGGTTCTGGAGTGTCTCTCTAAGGCCAATATAGCTGAACTAGAATCATAACTTACTTGGAACATGTTTCTAGTTTAGTTTTTATGTTTTTAAAGTTGAAATTCATTTTGAGTCCTAGCAACTCTCGGTTTAGTGAATAGCCCTGCTAGACTGATACCTTTGCAATTTAAAATCATAGTTCCAATTGTCCTACTACCCAACAACTTACCCCTGTGTTGTGAATGGTAGGTTAACTTAGCAGGTTGAATTAGTATTGAAATCAGAGGTGCTGTAAACCCTCTACACTTTGGGAGGACCTGCTCAATGGCTAATCTCACACATCTGATGTGTAGAAGAACTGTGTTAATGTTGTAGATATGCAGGGATCTTAGTTAAGATTATTGTTTATTTAAACTACAGGTTATTTGATGTTCTAATTTATTTTCTTCTGTCTCTCTTTTCAGGACACCCAAGTCCCCCTCCGTGTACCTTGAGGAAGCACAAAAATAATAGGAAACCAAGGACCCCCTTCACTACATCTCAACTGTTGGCTCTGGAGAGAAAGTTTAGACAGAAGCAGTATCTGTCAATAGCTGAGAGAGCAGAGTTCTCCAGTTCTCTGAACCTCACAGAGACCCAAGTCAAGATTTGGTTTCAGAACAGAAGAGCCAAAGCAAAGAGGCTACAGGAGGCCGAACTAGAGAAGCTGAAACTGGCTGCTAAACCCTTGCTGCCTTCATTTGCACTTCCGTTCCCTCTAAGTGCCCAACTGGGATCTACATCGTATGGCCCACACAACTCTTTCCAGAGACCAGGCCTGCCCATGCCAGGACTCTTTACAACACCGGTCACATATGGGATGTATTATTTGTCATAAAGTCAGAAAACAGACTGTGCACTACATGAATCTTCAGAGGAGAGTAAGGTGGAACATCAGCTTACCACCTGGACTCACAACACATCCAGTGCATAGACCTCCAAACAGTGGTGCCTTCTTATTATTGCAAATATGTGGCACAGGATTGTTAATAAACATCTCCAGAAATGTTCTGCAATGTAAATATCTTGGTTCAGTATTGGGAGGGTGGATTGGGAGGTTCTAGAGTACTAAAATAATAAAATTTTACATTAATCACTAGAGCACTGAAAAAAGCCCCATATTTTTGGTATGTTGTTTTGGCATATTTTAAAACAGTACTGAAATTGTGAGGATATTTAATTATATATTTACATTTACATTTACCTTGCTTTTCATTTGCGTTTAAGGTTTAACAATGACCAGATGTGATCAAATATCTTCCTGGGAACTTTTTTTGAGTTGTCCAGAGATCCCCCTGGGCAAAGGCACTTCTTGGGAAAAATGGGCACAGTCAACTGCAACAGGGTATGGAAGAGTCTGAAAAGAGGGTGGTATTGTATGGTCATGACAGAGTGAAGGAACACTCAGACCACATACAAGTTCATCTCTATAAAGTTGTTATAGTGAAAGGAGTACCTGGGCACCATTTACCTTTGTTGGTTAAAACATGTTCAAATGGTTTAATGCCCAAGTTGATGTTTGGTGCCGTAGAGCTCTGTCTTTTCTGTCCTACCTACAGCCAAAATTTTCGCTTGGCAGGAAGGTGATAGACTAAGAGTGTCAGCTGACACTCTAAGTTTATCACTAGACCTTCCTGGACTGTATTGTGGCCAGAGGAGGAAACAGGAAGCAGAGAGGACCAGTGCCTGGAGATCAATTTAAAGATTTGTTGGATTATGGTTTACCCCGAACATAAAACAGTACTTAGTGACTCCAACCTGTGTAGCAATCTAATTGAGATATCAGGCGAGAGTGTTTCTTTAAATGTCACTCTTTCCCTTCCATAACAGTAGAATTTGACCTGATCTATAGATGTCAGAACCATAGCTCCTCATCAATTCCTAATAATTCTGAAATGAGACATTATCAGGTTGTTTTATTTCTGTAACTTGATACATACAAAAATCAGGAAGGGGAAAGAAGGTAATAATCTTCATGGCAAATTTATAGATATATATACTTTCCAAACCAAAATAATTTGAAGAAAGGTCCCAATGGCATTTAAACAGTTTTGCAGCTGTGTGTATTGATGTTTTTGTACTCTGTATCATGACATGTCCTATTTAGCAACCATGGGGTTAAGACATCTGTATCTGCACTGCCTATAAATACAAATCTTTAGGTTAGTTTAAAGAACCATTACCATGGTAGGTTTATAATGTTAAAGAGTTTTTTTTATATATATATATATACTGTTAGCATAACATAATAGATATATTAAGGAGCCTTGTGATCCAGGCTTAGCACACTCAGCTATGGGTTATGCTCATATCCAGATGCGGGAGCAACTGCAGGTCAGCATTTTAGCAACACAACATCAAGAAAGATATGTTACTTTCATTGTGCTCATTTGAGAGGCCCACCTATTTAAATATCAGGGAGAGATTTATTAAAGAAAAACAGATTAAATGCAAAGTCCTAAATGTGGAGGGACTTTATGTTGGTTTCCATGGCGATTGCTCATTATTTAGCTATTTGCCCCAGATTAGCACCTTGTTAAAAGACTTGTTTTTCACCAACACCCTCAAAAAGTGACAAGAAATAGGAACTTGATTAGTTATCTAATATCATTTAGTTTTGTACTATAAAGTACCTTTATTAAAGAGACACTCCAGACCACTAAAACACTTCAGCTTGCTTATGTATTACGTGTGAAGATTGTGTCCTTTTTCTCATTTTACAAAGAGTGCAGATTTCAATACAAATTGGCACTTTTACAAGTTAACCTGGCTCTTACGCAGACAACAGGTCTTGTTACTTCCTGGTTTGGTTAGCTCAGTGGAGCTAAACTCAAGAGGCAGCAATTGCTCAGAACACCTGCCTTGCAAAGACTCTCATTGAGCTGCATTGTGAAGTCTGTGATTGGACAGACACAGAACGTCTGGTCAGGGATAAAAGAGGAGGGCTTGCAAAGGCAGCAGACAAGAGATCTGCAGTGTTTACGCTGTGTTTAGAGATGTCCCCAATGACAAAATGCTTAAGTAAATGGGGTTATATCTACTAAATAGTACTGGGTATTTTGTGTTTTTATTTTTAGGCAATGGAGTTTCCCTTTCAACACAGTACAATGGTTTCTCGGGAAAGAAACATTGAACTAAATGGGCAGTACCACTACAAAAAAATTAAATAAAATAAATGTGAGCATGGTTTATCAAGACATTTGGGATAATCTGCAGCAAAATGCTATTTAGCCATTCACAAAAACTAATTTTACTGGACGTCGTCTAGAGTAAATATGAAATAAATACCTTTCCAAAAACATTTATGACTTCTTCACCTGGTTTATTATTTCTATAAAATCACTAATGTAAAACTGGTGGCGGCTGGTGAAGTTTTAAGATGCTGGGGCGCCTTACTCCTCCCCCAGAATTCTGCTCCTCCCTATACAGTACATATATACTCATACAATTCAGAGATGCTCATACAATAGAACAAGCTAGACACAATACAAAGATATCTGTAAAATACATAGAGCTGAGTACAATACATAGATAACCATACCACAAACATAGCTGAGAAAAATATATAATACTTTGACGACCAAGTCCTGCTGCCTGCGTTCGGGAGACAAAATGGCCGCAATCCATTCTGTCGACCACATGCGTTTGGTTGCACGAAATGGCGGCCACCCAGTGGAGCAGTCTAATTGTTTCCTTTGACATTCCACATTCTAATGAGGTTCTGGGGTGGTCCTCGTTCAGGAACCAAACCAGGTGGGCACGTACAAAATAAACAAATATCCATAAACGAAATGTGCCAACCAAGTGATGGGATATTCCTTCACATTTATTACAAGGACCTAGCTGGTAGCGCTGCCGGCTCCCTCCTTGCTTTTTTTTTTTTTTTGCGCATGCTCAGTGGTTTTTTTCGTCATCATGGACGAAAACAAATTATTTTTTACCGAATTTCGTCAGAAAAACTAATGTTTTACTGCCGAAATTTGGAATGGACGAATGACATTTTTATTTAGTACGAAATCATTCGTACGAAATGAAAATTTCACGAATGCATATGTCTAAAATGTAAGTATTAATGTACGGATAAGTATTCTTATTAAAAGTCTTTCCAAATGACAGGTTCAAATAATTACCTTTACTGAATTTCTTGATTTTTTTGACAATTTCTTGGTTTCAATGAATATGGTTGTAATATATGAATACAATAAACATTGGGCATGTGCAGCATAGGGTAATTTATATTTATTAAACAACCTAAACCTTTGCTGAACTTGTTTTCTACAATTACATAACTAAACATTAATTTCAATTACCAATGAAACTATAAAAAAAAAGAAAAAGATTTTAATAAATTTTATCAGACTATTACGATGCAAAATAAGTTGGCTTTATGTAAAGAATAATATACAATTTAATAATTCTATCACATAAGAATAGCATCACTACTCTAAACTCAAAAGCAAGATGGCTGCCCTGAATTTGAAATAGAAAACTTTATTAATATAGGTCATATGAATATAGCTCCATAGAAAAAGAAAAAAGTTGTTAGACAACATTGAACAATATAAAGAATTAATTATAATTAACAAAGGTAATTTGTAATCTTTTGTTTGCTAATTATCAGCATGTTGATGGCTGACGATACATGGTTAATGATGTTGATGTAATCATAACCATAACATTCCAATACTTTTTGACAGTACATTTACTAATACCTGTTCAGTGAAAAAAGGCCCTACGTCTTTAATTAAGCAGATAAACGTAAACTATCACAATTATTCCAAAGAAGATTTGACAAATTATGTAAAAATTAAGCAAGTTTTAAGTCAATAACAGTTTAACGAGATTAAAGTTTTGACAATTTTGGATTATGAGTTAAATACAATCACATGATTGTATCTAAAGTCTTAAAACATTGATCTGATACTGACCCAGGATTGTAAATGTTTGTGTAGAATTTCCATTACAACTTATGCTGCAGTTTGTCTGTAAAAGCACTTCAATTGATGGGGATTTTAATAGGGTAACTGTATACAACAGAAACGTATTGTTTCCTGGATATGCTATGGCTTTTTTCACTATGCTACCTAGGCACGACCTCTGTAAACTATGTGTCACTCTGTACATAGTTTTATTTTCTTAGGTATACAGAGAAACTGGGTAACTTCTCTATTTTGTACAAACAATTTTATAAACATTTTAACATGAACATGTTTGTGTTAATGAAAATGTTTAGCTAATAAACATGAAAGTAATCAATTACGAGCAACTATTCAGCCATGAGACATCACAGGAGTTGGAAAGACTTGGCTCTGGCCAACATCTAACTGCAAATCATGAATACGTAGAGGCAAGCCAAACCACCAAGCTCTGGAATGTGGAGTCTTTAGTATGGGTCTTGACAAAGCCAAGGAAACATCGTTCCTAAACATTGCCCTGGCTCCAGAACTATACGTGTGTACTTATTCAAAGGCTCTTGAAAAAAGCAGAGTGGATCCGACATACATCTGTCTGGGTTCTAAATTTCCCAAGCATTTGTCGACACATGACTACATCTAAAGAAAACTTTTGAAAACGTCAGATCGACTGCACATATATCAATAAAAAAAAAAATCAGTTTAAGCACAAAGACATTTTAGCATACCTCCCAACATTCCAAATGGACAAGGACTGACACTTTCATTGTGGGCTTGTGGCATACCACATGCTCACAATGAAAGTGTCCCTCTTTGTTCTGAAAATTTTTAGGTGACTTACTAATAATTTATGTAACTAAAATGTTATATAGAATAAGAATAATGCATCTTATTTGCACAGACTGATTTCTAAACATATTTGTTTAAAGACACATCACTGTGAGTATCATTGCAGTTGAGCTCTGTTATACGCTTAGATACACCAACAATATGGAGCTCCTAGAAAAAAAAGGACATTAGGATATAAAAGAGGGACAGAGGGATTTGGTCCCAAAATAGGGACTTTCCCTCCTAAATCAGGACAGTTTTGAGGTATACTACAATTCCTGTACGGAAACATAACTAATAGGACTATATGCTATATTAAGAAGCTTAATACCATGAAATAATGTTGATGCAGTTAGGAAGGCTATTTATTACTCCGTCCGGTGGCTGGCTCATGGCTAAAGCTCAGACTGCTAGGTCACACAACAAAATGGAATCTACAAGTGAGGACTTTCCTTGTTTATCGCAACAAGAGTAATAGCTAAAATGGCTGGCTGTGACTAAAACTAAGAGACTCTCATAGTGTGTTCATAGAGACAAAACTAAGAGACTCCCATAACATCCAATGTGAAATGTTGTGTGTTCATAGAGACAAAACCTGCAAAACATAGACTGGACAGTGGGACTTGATCCTAATTGACAACTAAAGAGCTAAAGGAACACTAAAGTCACCCAGACCACTTTGTCTCAATGCACTAGTCTGGGTGCAGTGGGCCTGTAGTTTTAACCCTGCAATGTGAAACATTGCAGTTTTGTAGGCTCTAGAGGCACTTCCTCTGCAATGACACAGTTTGACTCTGTCAAGTGACATTCACTGTCCATGAACGTCATCAACAGCAGCTCATATGGAAGCATTGGATTCAATGATTTGTTTGGAAACATTTTATAGGACGAGTGGCGCTCACTATGCTTGCACATTTCGTCCCCGATGCTCCTCTATTGGACATTCATCGAGGAAGCGATGCCTCCAGGATGACAGGAAGCAGGCAGCAGCACCAAGTGAGTCTCAACGCTGGAAAAAAAGGCAAAAAAAAAACCCACTTTTTTTTTTTTTACAGGTGAAAAGGGAGCAGGGGCTGAATCTAAATATGGACTAGGACACAATGCTATTGTGTTTCTTAACATCTGAGAAATAATTAAACTATTGTGAACCACAACAAGTAAATTTACAAAGTGGTATTGTATTTGGGTTGGAAAAATTAAATTTGGTTAATTTTATACATGTTCTATTGGGTTTTATCTGCAGGACCAGATTAATGCATGGGTTACTGCAGCTTGAGCTCCTGGGACACACATTGTAATACGCTCAAGCAGCTTGACTTTTTTTTTTATGTAATCTGCTGGTGCCCTGTACGGATCAGGGACACATTCTTAGCATGTGGCCAGGAGCAACATGAGAAACAACATTCATAACACATGAAGTGCAAATGGTAGGCTTGACATAGAAATCTGCTTCAGGCCTCTGGCACACAGTCCTTCTGTGCCTCGTATCCGATAGACCATAGACAGTGGCTCATTGTACCCATTGTTGTTCCAAGAAAGTTCCCTAGGCTTCAGCCTGCTTGTGAAGATGAATTTTCTATGTCTGAAATGACCAGTTTATAAATTCTAATGGGGATGTTTTATAAATGGCCGCAAAGTCTAATTGAAGTCAGAGATCAGGCTCAGGATATGCCAAGCAATGGAAGTGCAAATTCACATTTTATTTGTCCAACAGCAATTTCTAGCTCCAGGTTCATGAAGTCCCTAATCCAGCACTGTAGATTAGGAGTTAAACTGTTTGAGGGGGTTCCCCTCCATCACAGAAAACTGCACTTTTTTTTTTAGATTACCCCCGTAATTTCACTCAACATTGCCCAAACATCAGATGTGGGTTCAAGGTTAGCTGATCATTGTTCGATACCACTGCAGTTCTGGCTGCTAGTTGAGTAAAGCCAAGATACTAGGTCACAGCAGTAGCTCCTGGAGGTGACTGTTGGCACAGGGGACACAGTAGCAGGCTCAGATTCTGGGCTCCAAACTCGGGACAAATAATGCTGCATCCTGCAGAGTGGTGGTCAGTATAAATGGAGATGCATGAGTGTGGTGGAGTTATTTAATTGCAATAATGGACGCATATAAACTGCTGTTGATCACATAGTACAGCAATATGAAAAGAAATAAAAAAAGCACAGCTATATACTGTGAATACAGTTGACTAGGCCAATGAATTAATGTAATTAAACTCATTGTAAAGGTGGGAGACTTTAGGTAGGTTTATAGTCATTGTCATTAGGTTAAAAAGGCCTGGGACAAGGTATGTAGACGTGAAGAGGAGGCAGGCAGCTTCTCTGTATCTCTTTTAATCCAAAGAGTTGTCAGTGTCTGCAGCCTCAATGTTACAGTAACTTCCTTCCATCATTGACTGGTTACAGGACAGAGGGTGGAATGCTACACCAGGAAACAGCAATGCCAAATGCTCTTCACTGTCCTATTATAATTGTTCATCATTACTAACCCAACGCCATGCACAGGGTTCCATTTACGCACACCTCTGTGATAACACTGGCACATGTGTCCACTTCCGTCCACAATCATTGTACTTTAAGAGAGAGGGTTAATTAATCCATTGATGGCAACGTAGCAAAATATCAAAAGCCATATGCATATTAAATATAACAAGTTTATTAACGCATACATTAAAACACACAAATACAATATAACAATAGAAGGCAATAAGAATTCTGCAAAAGACAAATAGTGCAATTTACATTTAGAACTGCATACCTATTTTTACACCATGAAATTACATTCAGGATTGAACTGTAGCCATACAGTCATTAACGATGACAACAGATTTCCCAATGTAGAGGACAACATAATAAACTCTATTACTTTTTTAGACACTCGTGCAAAACTAGAACGTTTGTGATACACGAGCGCCATCTGCTGGAGTTCTTTTAAACAGTCTGAACAAAACTTCTACAGTATAACAGAGGTGGTTTTATAGGCCAGTCGGATGACATAGATGACACAAAGTAAGCAGTTCGTATTTACTGGCTGAGTAAATCACTCATTGGTACGTTACTGCCACAGTCCAGAAAGAGCCTACAATCAGCACATGCCATAAATGTTCCATATAACAGGTAATATTTAAACTTCTTTAAAATTTTGTGCAACCTCTACATTATTCCTTATTTATTTTTCTTAGCATGTTTGAAACCTCTGACTGATCCGTGGCCGAAGCATATGGTTCGAGGGACCCTTAAACACAAACAAAGATAAAAATGTATGGTTACAAACAGTACTTGCAGAGAAAATTAGTTATGTGTTATACAATATACCAGATGGTATAACCCATTGGTTAAAGTTCAGTAACAGGAGACTTCTATTTTAAAACTACAAAGACTCTTGTTGGCATGGTGCCTGAAGATTGGAGAAGATACGTGGTTGAATAAGGGAATAAGATCTCAGCTTGGCTTGAAGACTTATTAAAGGCTATAATATGAAAAGGAGCCAATATTAATAGAAAATATTTAGTCATGTGAAAGAGTGAGGTAAAATGGAAAATATTTATATATAAATTGCAGTAAAAATAATCTGTGCATTTGCAACTGCATGTTGTGCAGATAAACTATAAATTAAGATAGGCTGGAAAAACGTCAACAAAGATGGATCAGAAGCGAATGGTTAAAAGTCATGGATGATAACTTCAAAATATACCACTTGACACTTTACTTTACACAGACCTCAAAATTAGTTTAAAAGTTGTCAGTAAACAACCAAATAAATCAAGAAACCTCATACCTCATACCAAATGTGAGTGGTTCTCCTATAGCTACTATATTCACTATGTGTACTTTACCATATTGTACTGTACCATTATTGTCCTATTTTTTTTTTTTATTATCCTGAGGTTCTCAACATCGTACCCTCTGAAGTTCTATGTATGTATTATTCTGGGCGCAGTATACGCCACCCTTTTCTGTTCAACTATCACACAAGGTCTTGGGAATCCTTGTATTGTATACAGCAGCCCTCACATATCCATTGCACTATAGAGAGCGCCTATTACCCTTGTTTTTCCTGGTTTAGCAATGTGCATAATGCACGATCTGCAGTCTTTATTCCTGGTTCCGCGTTTCCTGAATTTCGACCTTGGCTTCCGTTATCTGAATTTGCAACTGCACTCCACCTGGTCCAATCTCTCATTAGAATGTTTTAGATTCTTAATTTGCCTGCTGATTTGGCCTTGTTAGATCTTTGGAATGGAATATGGTATTCTCTTGGCTCCAGATGCCACCAAGCCCATGCTGCCAAATTATGTCATGATCCTGGGAAATCCCACTATAGCTGCCTTTGCACAGGTTTGAGTTGGGTCCTATTGTTCCAAATACCCATGGGATCCTACTCTAACAGCTTGTATGAGTTATAGTCATCCCTTTCTCCATCCCAAGAGCTTCCTACTTTTGAACTATTAATTATCGTCTGTCAATATTTCAGAGATTAAGGGTTTGGGTTAAAAATACAAGACGTTCTGGACTTACTCTTTAATATGCAGTTGCAAAGATAATTTGTTGCAGTGATATAACTTTTTACAAATGGACCATAGGGTTTCTTATGTATAACTTACATACTTTTTCCACTTGCACTGTGAATGTTTACATGGTGTGTTCAATAAAAACATGGCAACATTTCATTCTTTGTGTGTTATTAGTTTAAGTAGACTGTGATTGTCTATTGTTGTGACTTAGATGATGATCAGATCACATTTTATGACCAATTTGTGCAGAAATCCATATCATTCCAAAGGGTTCACATACTTTTTCTTGCAACTGTAAATGCTGACATTTCATCCAGATGTTATCATTTAAAAAAATACAGTGTACAGTGGATGAGTAAAAAACAAACAGCAAGCTAGATCGAGAAGGGGGAAAAAACAGAAAAACAAAACAACTTATGCATTTCTGGTAAGCTACTTTTAGTCATAGGCATTGTTTTGAAGGATGAAATAAATCAGTATTTATCAATTTAATCTATCGTCTGTGATGGATTTTTGTGGATCTGGGCAGCCAAATGTAGCCAAGTTGCTTGTTCACTGCTTTATCACTATCCTGAGATCGTTTATACACATTTTATATAATGATAGCCCTGACATGTCACCAATAGATAAAATAAAAAAAACATTTTACTTAACTGAATAAATTGCATGGAATGTAAATGAGTGCAGTAGTAGTTAATGGTTACCCTCAATATAAAACCTATAGGCCAGGCATAGGCAACCTTCGGCACTGCAGATGTTTTGGACTACACCTACCATAATGCTTTGCAAGCATTAGGTGTGTAAGAGCATTATGGGGGATGTAGTCCACAACAACTGGAGTGCCAAAGGTTGCCTATCCCTGCTATAGACGATAGGGTTTGGTGTGCTGAGGAACGCCAGGAATTTTGAAAAGAAAGAAAAATTTGCTTCAAAAAGTTTGCTTCATTTTATCAACTACTTTTTTTATTGATTTATTCACATAACAAATGTGAGTGTTTGATCCATCTTTACCTGCATTTGCTGTAGAGGTTAGATAGAGCTGTGGTATCTGCCGCAATGTTGTTCTCAGTTGATTCATCACTAGCATTAGATGAAACCACATCCATGGACTCCACAGCAGGTTCCTCCATATGATCGGTTTCCATTGACAATGCTTTGGCCACATTCCGGTCTTGCTTTGTTTTGCTGCAGAGAAAAACAAAAATTTTTTACTTACTGTAAATTCTTTTTTTCCATAGTATTAGCCACAGTACCAAAAGGACGTTCTTTATCGGAAGAGATAACCTGCAGATGTAATGGTTAAATTATGTCTCACCCCCTCTCAAACCTTTAAATACCTTGACCATAGGGACTATGCCAACAGCTACAAGAAATAACCAGCAAACACCAAATTACTGCCAAAAAATAGGTTTAATGAAAATGGAGGGAAACATGTACTACCGTTAAAATACTACTAAAAAGAATTTACGGCAAGTAAAATTTATTGTTATCTCTAGGTTTAGCGACAGTACCAAAGTGATTTAGCAAAATCTAATAAGGGTAACTTGTGTCACA